AGTGAACTCTAGCCTCAGGAGCTGCAGGCTAGAGTTCACACCCCCACTGGACCACCAGGGATTACAAGCATATGCCCCCTCCCTGGGCAAAGGTAGGAAGGGGGGGGGATTATAAATAATATTTTATTAATTTTAAAAACAAAAACATTTGTTTTACACTGCCCCCCAAACACACTGCCCCCACAGCCCCCCATAAACACTGCCCCACCAAACACACTGCCCCCACAGCCCCCCATACACACACACTTCCCTCCACACACACTGCCCCCCCACACACACTGCCCCCACAACCCCCCATACACACTGCCCCCACAGCCCACCATACACACTGCCCCACCAAACACACTGCACCCACAGCCTCCCATACACACACACACACACTTCCCAGATACACACAGTGCTCCCCATACAAACACTGCACCCCACATACACACAGTGCTCCCCATACAAACACTGCACCCCACACACACACTTCTCCCCATACAATCACTGCACCCCGCATACACACAGTGCTCCCCATACAAACACTGCACCCCACACACACACTTCTCCACATACACACAGTGCACCCCATACACACAGTGCTCCCCATACAAACACTGCACCCCACACACTCCACATACACACAGTGCTCCCTCATACAAACACTGCACCCCACATACACACAGTGCTCCCATACAAACACCCCCACATACACACAGTGCTCCCCATACAAACACTGCACCCCACATACACACAGTGCTCCCTATACAAACACTGCACCCAACACACACACTTCTCCACATACACACAGTGTTCCCCATACAAACACTGCACCCCACACACACAGTGCTCCCCATACAAACACTGCACCCCACATACACACAGTGCTCCCCATACAAACACTGCACCCAACACACACACTTCTCCACATACACACAGTGTTCCCCATACAAACACTGCACCCCACATACACACAGTGCTCCCCATATAAACAATGCACCCCACACACACACACTTCTCCACATACACACAGTGCTCCCCATAAAAACACTGCACCCCACATACACACACCACACACACACACTTCTCCACATACACACAGTGCTCCCCATACAAACACTGCACCCCACATACACACAGTGCTCCCCATACAAACACTGCATCCCACACACACACTGCACATACTGCACCCCCCACACACATAGTGCTCCCCCACACAAACAGTACACCCTCACACACTTCTCCCCCCACACACACTACACCCCCATATACGTCTACCCCACACACACACACACACACTGCACCCACATACACACACTTCCCCAACTGCACTCCCATACACACACTGCCACCACTACACCTTCATACACACACTGGCCCCATACACACAGTGCTTCCACTGCACTCCCATGCACACACTACACCCCTCACACAAACACACAGTGCTCCCACTGCACCCCTCTACACACACTGGCCCACATGCACTGCCTCCCGTACACACACTCTGCACCCCTCACACACTGTCTCCCATACCCACCCTGCATCCTTCACACACTCAGTGCCTCCCATACACACACACACACACACACACACTGCCTACTCTCACACACACACACACACTACTAGAGGCTCTATCCCCTACTACAGCCCCTATCCTGGCAGACCCCAAGTAAATTGTCAAACTGTTTTTAAACCGTTTGACTATTTACTCTGGGAGGGCGCCACGGCACTCCTGGCACCATAACCACTACAGAGAGCTGTAGTGGTTACTGTGCCTGGATTGTTTCTTTAAATAACCTATGAGTGCCCCTCCCGAGATAAGACTCTGGATCCGCCAGTGCTTCCCTCTGCATGCAGACACTGAACATTCCTCACAGAGATTTATTGATTCAATTAATCTCTATGAGGAGATGCTGATTGGCCAGGGCTGTGTTTGACTTGTGCTGGCTCTGCCCCTGATCTGCCTACTTCACAGTCTCAGCCAATCCTATGGGGAAGTATTGTGATTGGCTCAGAACAACACTTCTGATGATGTCAGCAGGCAGCTTGCTGTTCTGAGGAATAAAACCAACAGCTTCAGGTTTGAATACTAGTAAGTTTTTACTATATTTACGATAGGGCCATGGTGTAGCGTTACTTACCTTAACCGGGGGCCGGTCGCGGTCCTCTCTTCAAGCCGCGCGCGGTCCTGCGGCTGCACGAGCCGCGCGCGGCTCATCCGACTACTTTAGATGGAAGGCGGGCAGTGACCGCGTGAAGCGGTCACATGTCCCGCCTGAAACTAAGAGCGCGCCGCGAGTCTCGGGCGCGCTCTTAAAGAGACAGTGGGAGCCTAATTGCCAAAAGGCTCCCATTGGCTCCTGTCATACCACACTCCCCGTACAATTACCTATAGGGGGTGTGGAAGTGACAGGAGCCAATCACTTTCGTTTTAAAGCTATTTAAACTTACCTTTTTCCCTTAGCTCGTTGCCCTATCGTGGTTTCTGTTTCAGTTCCCTTTAGCGCTTTTGGTGTTCAGTTGTGTTTTCTCGTATTGACTTTGGCTTCGTATTCTGACTTCGTTTTCGCTTTATCCTTATCTGTACTGTTTGCCGACTTGCTGTTTTCCGTGTACCAGACCCCGGCTTGTCCTAGTTTACGCTGTCTCTCTGTGCCCTTGACCTCGGTTTGTTTCTGGCTCTGTCTCCTCTCATATACGTCGAGTCCGGCCATTCTAAGGTCCGGTAGACGTATCTCTCCTCTGTATTTGCCTCTGTTTAGCTGGATCCTGCGTGTAGGGGTATATTCTCGTTACACATGGACCCCGCAGGTTTAGGACAACAGATGGCCACTCATGAGGCTAGATTTGCAGAACAGGATCACCGTATGGATCAGATGGCTCAAGCCATCCAGACACTTTTATCTAGAACGGTTCCGGTAACTGTACCAGCTCCTCCTGTACCCCCTGTACCAGATCCATCTAATATGCCTAATGCTTCAGCACATCTAACCCCTCCACCTAAGTATGGAGGGGATGCTAAGACATGCAGGGGATTCCTTAATCAAGTGGAATTCCACTTTGAGATGTATCCACGTTCATTTCCCACTGATAGATCTAAGGTGGGTTTTCTTATGCACCAACTTACCGATAAAGTACTTGAGTGGGCAAATTCTATTTGGGAGGCTAATGGACCTATGGTACATGATTTCAATAGCTTCCTTACGGCTTTTCGTAGAACCTTTGACACAACTAAAAGGTCAAAGAATGCTGCCAGGGTGTTAATGAGAATTAAGCAAGGATCTAAATCTGTTGCTGATTATGCTATTCTGTTCTGTACCCTTGCTTCACAGGTAGATTGGACCAACAATGGGCTTACTACTGCGTTCATGGAAGGTCTATCTGAAACTATATTGGATGAGATAGAGGCTAGGGATCTTCCTGTACCCTTAGAAGACCTTATTGACTATCTCATCGACAGTGGTGTATTTTGGATCTGTGCTGCCCTACGCACAACTAAATTCGGGCACCCCCAAAATCTAAATTTGCCCACCCAATTCGTGTCAAGGCCACTTTTTTGACTGACAGGCACATACCCTCATTGATACATGCACTGATATACACTAACTGACAGATACACAGTCATTGGCACACACTGTTTAATCAACACACACTTTCACTTACAGACACGCACTGACACACCCACTCACTGACAGGCACACACTCTCAGATACACATAAAATTACATACACACACTTTCCCTCACTCACAGACACACACTGACAGCTACACCCACTCACTCAATAAGGTGGACAGCCCCAGAACACTAGGCAAACAAGGCATTTGTCTGGGAGCTTGGGGTGGCATTTTTTTGGCGCCCCCCTGAAAGTGCCGCCCTAGGCAAATGCCTTGTTTGCCTTGTGGTAAATACATCCCTGCTCATCTGACGCTTTGTTTCATTTAATACACCTAGAGCTGAAACTCCTGAGGGTTCCAAAGGATCTGAGGAAGAACCCATGCAGTTAGGGGTTGCTAAACTTACTGATGCTGAAAACCTATATCGGAGAAAAGAGGGACTTTGCCTTTATTGTGGTAGGAAGGGCCATATGAGACAAAAATGTCCTGTGCGTCCGGAAAACTATCGCACCTAAGACCGTATAGGGAACAAGCCTTGGGTGTGACATCAGAGTCCTCACATTTGCCTCTTAATAAATTGCTTCTCCCTGTATCTTGAAAAAAACAGCATAGCAGGGAATATACTAGCCCTGGTTGATTCCGGTGCGGCAGAGAACTTTATAGATTCCGGCTTTGTTAGGGAAAACAACATACCCAATAGAGAGAAGAAGACACCCTTGGCCGATGAGGCCATAGATGGTAGACCATTATGCTCCCCAGTTATCACACATGAAACTGAACCATTGCATATGTCTACAGGGTTGTTACACTCAGAAACCATTAGGTTTCAGATCATTACTTCTCCTTCCTCTCACCTCGTGTTAGGGTATCCGTGGTTGCGTTCTCATAATCCCACTATTGACTGGGAGTCAGGACAAATAGTATCTTGGAGTGATGCTTGCCAAGAGTCTTGTATTGTTAAAATCACCCCTTTGAATTCTATTAATGTCCCTAATATTCCTCCTGTGTCTACTGTTATACCTCCTCAGTACATGTCTCTTAAGTCTGTTTTCGATAAAAGGGAG